TGCGTGCGTTGCAATGAGCTACCTTCTGGCGATGATGGCCAGCAATCATGCTCTGCAGTTCATTCTATATCCCACTCAGGTTTTTCATTTTAGTTTGAGTGTTTTCACGTCTACTTCTAAGAATTCATCTCACTGGTTGTTTTTATGAAACGATAGTTTATTTCAGGTGCTTGCAAAATCTTGCAAACCGATACCGATTTTGATTTTCGGTGTTCTCTTCGCCGCCAAGAAATACCATTGGAAAAAATACGTATTCGTATTGATGATTGTAATCGGCGTAGCAATATTTCTTTATAAAGATAAGGCTGACACTTCACATGGACGGTCCGTGTTTTCGTTTGGCATAGGAGAATTCTTCTTGGTGAGTATTCATCGCTTCTTTAGCCTTACTTGAATTTTATCGAAAACCAGGAAAAGATAAGCACAAGAAGTTTATGAAACTGATTTAATTTTTTGACCATTTTTATTGCTTTGATTTTTTGAGATTTTGCTATTACGCCCCTATTTGTTTTCGGTAAATTTTCGGTAATTCTCTTCACAATCAAATTTGTTCTGGAATATTTTTTGTAGTTAATTTATTGGAATCGGAGCGAAAGCTTACAAAAATGAAAAACGCCTTGCAGGTATTCTCATTGGCGATGGATGGCACGACGGGGGCGATTCAGGACAATATTCGACGTCATTACAAAGCAAATGCACATTCAATGATGTACAATATGAATCTTTTCTCGTCCATCTATCTCCTTTTCGGTCTGTTGACCACTGGTGAATTAGCGGCGTTCAGTTATTTCGTCAACGATTATCCATCAGTCATCACAAACCTTTTGGTGCTTGCATTCACAAGTGCTTTCGGACAAGTATGTGAATTTTTTTTGGAATCATAATTTATATAAACTTTATAATTTGAATTTCTCTTGTTAAATGCAAATTAACTAATGTTAAACTAATCGCGTGAAGCTTTTAGTGTTGTTTTGAGATTGTTTTGAAGAGCAGCTTCGTGCACTTCTTTCATTATTGGTTAAGCACTAACGATATGTTCGATTGACTGAGTCTGCTCAGGGTGATCAAAGCCATCCTTCGTTAAGCACACTACCAGTGTTTGATAAAATTTCATCCGTTAGCAATTTTCAGTATTTCATCTTCAAGACAGTCACCGAATTTGGACCGCTGACGTGTTCGATCGTAACAACAACAAGAAAGTTGTTCACGATGCTTGGCTCAGTTCTTCTGTTCGGAAATGTTCTCTCACAACGCCAAATTGTTGGTACAGTTATTGTATTCACTGGTCTGTTATTGGACGCTATCGAAAGCAAGAAGAAACATCCACCTGTTAAGAGTAGTTAACCATTTGCGAGTAAAATTACTGAAACATTGATTTGCAGTGGAATGAATTCGAGGTTATTTGGTCAGTTTGAGCCCTTTACATAATATTAATGTGTTATTGATTGAAAAGATCGAAATTTTTGACGAACCGTTTGATTGTATTAGAATTTTGACGATTGAATGCGAGCTTGAACTTGTTTTCTCAATTGATTGAAATCCTCTTATTGCGTTTACTTGGAATCTGTGTTGAACTGAGAAAATTTTCCTTTCTGTCTTATTGTTAATCTTATCGGTATCGTGAATTCCTTCTTGAAGATAGGAATTGCTCGAAAGTTAACTCGCTTAGGTAATGTTCATTGTTCGTGAATATTCAGTATTTAAATGCTGATGAATATTTTCAGTTATTCATTAATTATGTTCATGATCATTGTTTTGATTTTGATCATCTTTCTGGGATCTTCATTGTGATACTCTTTAATTTGATTGTTTTTTGTTGGTAATCGCGCGATTTTCTGTGGATTTTCGGTATTAAGCATTCCCAACAAGTGTATCAAATTATTTTTGGTATTGTACAATTGATAACTTATTTATACGAGTTGAACGAATATATTGTAAAATTATTTAACGATTTACTTTTTTCGTTCGCTTGTATACTAACGATATTTACGTGGTTGTTGTTTGTTTTTGTTGAAGGAGTAAATAAAATTTGGGATGTGCAACGACTTGATTGGTTTTCTGCTTTGTGCACTACATACTTGTCATTGTTGTCATCGGTTGTCTTGAACAATCAGTTACATATTCGGGTGAAATAAGCAGGCTGGAATGAATCTCGAGTCAATGCCATAAGCACTCATGCGCTCATGTCTCTTCAAATGATCTTTATCACGCAAAATTCGAACTTTTTCGTAAATTTAATCATGCGACTGTGAAGATTACAAATTTTGAGCGTTGACGAAATTTTTTTCAAGATATAACAGTCATTGATGTGGTGATTGTCTTTATTGGACGAGAAACAACAGGAATCAAATTGTACGGTCCTAACGAGTCTTCATTGTTGATGATCTGCTGAACAAACAAAGTCATTTTCGAGCAGTATTATGAATATTGACTATCGTGTAAGTTGTAAATTTTGTAATCAACGACCACAGAATATCATTTGAAGTGGCTCGAAGACATTTACATTGTCTACTTCTCATTGTTTCCATTAATATTCAAATCATTAACGGTATGAAACTGATAGTGAGTGAGGAATGCTTTTAATGGGCGTTCAGTTTGGAAAAGATCATTTGATCTTTGTGTTTGATCGTTTCATGATGATCAGTTTTCTCTCCTTTCAGTTTGCAAATCTGATCGGAACCG